GGGTAAGATGTTCCATCATCCAATTTTCTTTTGACCAATATCGACAACTGTGTCGTTTAGCGAAGCAATTCAAACAAAAAATCGTCTAATCCGAAAAAAGGATATAACTTCGGAAATGTGGATTTAAAACAGATTAATGCATAACACATTTTATTCAAATTTCATTTCAATCTTTCATAAAATACATTTAATTTATTGCATAAATAATTCCTTATTTTAGATATTGTCGCAAAAAAGGTTGTTACTTAGAATTTTAAGAACAATCCAAAAATGGAATAAAAATAAGAATGTTTGGTAGCTTTGGGAAAAAACCATAACGGTGGCAACATCGCCTATGTCACGATTGGTTGCAGCCTAATTGGAAACCGCCGTATACTAATTTCATAAATTTAATTCTAATTCCTGAAATATATAAGATATAAAATAAAAGAGGCGTGTGGTGATTTTTAAGTTTTATCAAAAAGTATTTATTTATTCATCAACATTAATGTTATCCCTTTTAAAGTAATCGCCCCAGATATAATACTTTATAAGCACTTTCTGGTATAGGCTTGAGTTCTTCTAGCGATTTTGTCTTTATCTCCTCAATCGTTCCAAACCTTTTGTTTTTGGCCAAAAAGTAAGACACAAGCAACGATGAATAAGCAGGTGCATGTAACAGTAAGCAAAACTTTCACATTTGATTGAACTTGACATGCTTTTTTCGGTCTTGGCGGTCTGGGTTCTTCCATTGGGGCGATTGCGCTTTGGTATCTAACCGTATACCCATTATTCGTCGCCAGCTATGACGTTTTTGAGCAAATCGGGATCATCACTGACGTCGTTCAACAGCTCTTGAGCGATGCTCTATCGACGGTCCTTTTGTTCGGAACCAATTTTGCTGCTACACGTTTGATGCCCAAAATTTCGGAAAAAAATGCATGACACGAGCCAAAAGGGATGTCAAAGTCTTCAGCCACGTCTCTAGTAGTGATTCGAGGATTTTTCAAAACTAATTGGTTCATTTCTTCAACGCTTTCATCAGTTATTGAAGTGCTGGACATTTAACTAACTGTATAATAAATAAATAAATAATAACAATAAATAAAACAAAGAGTTACATGTTTTGCCAAAAATGGCATCACGAGACTTATAAAAATATCAAATCTTTTTATCCCTGTAGAAAACTCACCAATACAAATTAAAAACAGACCACATACCTAAACAACTATGCCAGACAATAGAGGCATCTATTTGAAAAGGAAAATTGAACAAAAATCATTTTTCCCTGCCATGTAAATATGGCCCAGTTTTTGAAATCGTCGATGATCAGAGCGAAGTGACAAAATAGTGGAAAACTATCTCGTGGTTTGGGGACAGCTTTGTAGCGTACAATCCACAATTCTTTCAAATTGTGATCAGTAAAATGAGAGTTAAACGGTTGCTGGTCATTGACGCGTATGACATCAGGAATTTTCAGCGCTCTACTGATTCCTGACGTTTCCAAAAGATCAAACTTTCTGCTTTTGTCACAAATGTGGGAACTAGTGGTTCTCTGATAGTAAATTACTAGTAAACATTGATTTGACTACCCGTTCTGCCCACTTTAGCTCGTATACATTAGAAGACTCCAAAGGGGAGACAACATAATTAAATAAATCACCCTGAATTATGTGATATGTTTTTGATTTGTATTTGTGGGTTTTTTACAAAGATTTGAGATCTGTATATGACATGATGCTGTAAATTTCGCATTTTTTTAAAATTTAAATGAAGCTTTGTTTAGTCCACACATGATATTTGAGAACAGCCTGTAGATAAATGAAACGAATTATCGTGTTACTGTCGAGTATCAAATATCATTTTTAACACATACTTTGGAGTAGAAAAATGTGCCGATCATTTCCGCCTAGCTAAACCCATTGAAATCGACGAATGTTCGATTTATTTAAAGCTTCTTTGTTTGTATAAGCGCCCATTAACAAAAAAACGCGTTCGCTCTCAATTTAATTAAAATCTCTGGTATTTGTTGCCCTTAGTTTTCGGAAATATTTGAAATGCCGCTTGATATATCGACCCTAAATGTAAAGTGTATGTAGAACTTGGAATAAATTCGGTAAATCAAAGAAATATTATACCGTGTGTCCCAAATTTAAGATCATCATCGGCGATTTTCTTAAATGGAAACTATAATTTTGTATGCCATTTGTAAACGACAAATCAAGTTGCACTTACGTTCCCGCCAAATTTGAGATTTTAATTCGCCATTTAAAATATTCAACAAACATTACATACTTTTCAAAGGAACTTCCGCTGTCGCTGATGTTTCGCCAAACATACAGCTCGCTTCTTCAGAGTGCATATTGCCTCTGAATGAAGGCGGGGATTTTATTTTTATTTTTATTTTTTTATATATTTTTTTTTTATATTTTTTTTATATATATTTTTTATATTTATTTTTATTTATTGGAAGGAAATGTATATGATGTTTTCGTGATCTGGCTGCACGGTCAGAAATCTCCTCAACCCTTTCTAAATAACCTATATTCCATACTCCCAACTATCGAATTGGAAAATAATAACACCATTTCCTTTCCAGACATTTTCATTAATCGAAAACCAGACTTAACCTTAGGCTATTGCGTAAAGCATTACCTTCCCGTCTAGAAATCTTACGTGATTAATTCTTTAGTTTTCAGAGCAATATCACTGCCTCAACCCGAATTTCTTAATTGGCAATTAACACATCTCAACTCAGTTCTTCTCTCAAACACCAAATTTTTTTCGATAAGACTAAAAATTCGAAACTATCGAAATTACCAAAGACTCTAATAAAATATTTGGGATCCGTGACAGACCAAAAGATATTGGTTTAGCATTTTTATAAGAAAAAGGAAGTGCAGTAACGCATTCCAAGCATATTTGAGCGATAAGGGTATTAGTCATTATACTAATTATACTGTTTTAACCTATATTTTTATACCTAGTCTATTAAATACTAGCATATTTATATTTATATTTATGCTTCTGGATTTGTTTTAATTATATCTAACTTTGACTGTTCCTACCAGCGTCCTAAGGATGATACCGATGTGTCGCCTGCTATTTGTCTTTTTGTGCTAGTGTCAGTTCTAGTTGCCACAAACAAGGATTTTATTGATGCCTCAGTGGATTTTTGCACGTTTATTTTATTTTTTGTCACTATTTTGTTATTACGTTTTACTAAGTAAACGTTATTATTATCACTGTCATATTTACATATTTATTGACACCCACAAGATTGAAATTTAGTTATTCATTTATCCACTAGACGGAAAATATAGAGCACATCTGATATTTTAGAAACAAAACTTTCTTCGATTTGCTGAATTTAGACATGCACTGTTTAGTAACATATTATGTTGGCAAAATGGCACTGGGGATACGAAAACCATTTTAACAAGTTTCATATATAAAATTCTTGAAAATTTCCTCTAAAACTGGTTCTGCGTATTCGTTGGTTAAATATCAGTAAGCAAATGAAACGCGTCTAAAACAATGTAAGGAATCTGGAACATTGAAATAATATATGGATATTGACCTACGCAGTCAAAACAATTTCAGCATTATAAGGTAAATACTTAAAACTCTCAAAATTCAAACTAATACGCGACTCAGAATTGATTTTAAATTTAACGTCCTTGTACACTAATTAAACTTAGGTTTCACTTTCATACAATGCATAGAAATCAAATTTTTATTATTTTTATATTATTAGGCATTAAATAAACTCGCCCTGCGGGCCACTACGGAAAGTTCGCAAAGTCGATGTAATTTTATTGTGGATACACACTGTATAAACAGCCTTCCATGTCCGGCTAAACTTCAAAGTTACGGCAAACTTTGGTAAATATTATTTTTTTTTACAAATAATAGCGATTTCCAACGACATTTTTTCAAATATGTATGATAGACGAAAACTGGAAATCTCTCTCGACACAGTTTACGATACTGTTCAAATCGAATTATCGCATCTTTAACAGTTTTCCATTTACCCCCAATAATTTGCCCACAAAAACGGAAACTTTTAGGATGTTTTAGATTTTTTTGCCTATAAACGATATACCCTGTATATAATTCAAATAAAGTAATATATGGTTTAGTCCTGGATTTCCCACGTTTTCTGATATATGACTTTTTCCAATACTTGTTTTCTGAAACCATGCAGTACGTGGTAATAGCAAATGACGTCATCGCGTCTAGATTGAAGGCGAGAAATGGTGATTTTCATTTGGATTTTTTCAAATATGTCGAACAGCGTATGCGATAGACGAAACCCGTAAATTCAGCTCTCGATGTGGCCTATAACACGGTTTAAACCAATTGGCCATATTTTTCACGAATTTTGATTTAGGGCTAATAATTTAATGCCGAAAAGAAGGATTTTCAGGATCTTTTAGATTTTTGTCCATAATTGAAAAACCGTGTATATAATCGAAAAAATGTCTGAAACAAAGGTTATGATCCCGGATCTCCCGTATTTCCTGGTTCACAAATTTTGCCGATCGGATTAATAGTTTTGGAGAAAATAATTTTTTTCCGGCAGAAAAAATATCTCTTTTTTTTAATATTTCGCGAGATTTAAGTGAGTCCTGTTTTAACAGTTGGATAACAGGTGTGGACTTCTACCTTTTTGCCAAATCTGAAATCGACATCTGCAAATTTAAGACACCTGTTAATTTTTCAATATAGCACTTTATATCTTGAGCACCCTGTACTACAAGTGAAAATGTCAAATGCAAATTTTTTTTTGGTGCTTATGCGGGCTATATCGTCATGTAAAAGAAACTGACATCGTAAACACAGCCTTAAGACTTAAATTATTCTAATAAATCATCAACCTTATTATCACCTACAGGATTTGCTGCAAGTTGAAACTAGCCAGTTTTTTACAAGCAACGCTCTTTTATGACTTTTATGGGGTTCTATTGTTATTTTAGTTGGTAAAAAAACAGCGATCGATATGTTTCTTATTGTTTCAGATATTCCGTCGAAGACTGAACATTACAAGACTTACGCCAAACAGAATATTTCATTTCGATGTCCGGGTGCTAACGAAAACACCTTGGTCGAACAACTAGAGTGGTACTCGCACTCGAAACACAAAAAAGTGCTCGAATACCGCAAAAATGCGGGTATCACCGTCTACACAGACTGGCTCCATCGTGTTACACTTGACAAGGATTATGGATTGATTTTTAACCCCGCCAAGTCTACCGATACCGGTGACTACGTATGCCTCATCAATCATCGAATATTACCGGACGTGTTGATTAGATTTAGCGTGATTGGTAAGTGAGGAAAGGAGATTCTGCATTTGATCTTATCTATTTGACCGCATAATATAGACCACTGCCTAGCCTCTATGCGCCTATACACCATCGGACAAAAGTTATGCAATTTTTATCATAATAATAATAAATTGAAATATATGAATAAAATTGTGATTCGTAGTAGCAGAATTAACGTAACAAAAACCTCAAATATATTGGTAACAAAATAGAATGTACCAATTAAAATGATCCACTATACGATCTGGAAACCCATAGGAGATACGAAAAAAAGTTTCCTATAAATGTTTCTTGGACTCTCCTGAAGATTTAAAATATTATAATTTTCTTGATACGGGATGTCCCAAAAGTGTCCCCCACCATCAAATTTGTTATTTTAAATGAAACACCCTGTATATTTCGACCTTTTTGAAATCGTTGTTTAAAACAAAGGTGACTTTGTTAAAAAAAAATCCTATTCGAATTTTGCTTAATTTAGACAAAAATTGAGGTTATGTGTTGTTTTTTCCTATTTTGATTGCCGCATAGAAAATTGCGTGGTGACGCTACGAAAATTTAACCACAGACTAAGGATATGATGCACTACTCAATCAGTTTGACAAATGGGCCTCAGCTTATTCAGGGTGTCCCAAATAAGTGGTGCCGTTTTGGCGATTTCAATTAACAAAATCTAAAGATTTTCAAATGGAACACACTATATTTTCTTTCAAATATCAATTCTAGGACAAAAAAAATAAGGTAAGTTTGTATTTTATCTGATATTTAAATTTTACTTACTGTTTGAGATATTCGAGGTTCAAGATAACACCCATATAAATTCTTGTTGAATTAGGTCACTTAGCAATAGCAATAGCAGACATGATACTACTTCTTTCAGATATACGAACAAAACCTATTGCTAACAATGCAGAGTGTCCATTAATACATTGAAATTTTGAAAAAAATCGACTCTATACTACACACCTTATCAGATTTAATAACACTTCGCAATAAATATTTAAAGAAACACTTAATAGTTAATTATCTAGCTTTATTGATAAAACCTAATAACAAAAATAAATAACTAAAGTTTATAAGATAACTAAACAAAGTAATAAATTTGAAAAAAAAAAAATACTGTATATTTTCCAAATATTGTCCATCCTCTGCAATACACATACTATAACGGGTCACTAAGCTGGAGACCGCATTTCTAACCGCATCACTATTATTTAAAGTAATAACCTCTTGTCTTATTTTTTAACCTCGAAATTTTTCAAACCTCGAATATTTCAAAAAGCAAGCAAAATTTAAATATAAAACAAATTATAAACTTACCGATTTTTTTGTCTTAGAGTTGACTTCTGAATAAAAATATAGTGTGTTCCATCTGAAAATATTGAGATTTTATTAATTGAATTCATCCAACTCTAATTAATGTTGTTATGAGGATTTAAGTTTAATAATGGATAAAATAAAATGCAATAAAAACTCGGAACCCATTGGTCAAACAAGATTTATTAGATTGCTTAATAGTATCCCTACTCCAAAATTGTTTATAATTTAATGGACAGATTCATACCTCTAAGGAAGGTTTGATGATGGGAAATCCACTTTGTCCTTTGTTAGCCGAGATTTTGATGGACAATTTGGAAAATATCATACAAGAACATCCTTTTAGGTAAAAGTTTTCTATTGTTGTATAGATAGGTGGATGATGTTTTTGCTTGCTTTGTTGGAACGGACAGACAGTTGAATTCTATTTTAAATTACATTAACTCATTACATAATCGGATAAAATTCTATATCGAGATTGAACAGGATAACTCTATTAATTCTTTATACTTAACTATTACGAAAACGCAAAACAAATTAGATTTTCCCATTTACCACAAACCTTCACACACGGACACAGTCGAACAGCTCAAATCACCCTTATACACACAAAATGGCTGCATTTCACTCTTTTATACGCATACTTCTTAATCCGCCACTATCAACAGAAAATTACAACAAAAAACTTATATCACTAAACAAATTGCACTGAACAACGGCTGCAATCTGTCCATTATCGATAAAATAATAAATAAAAAACAAATCCAGACAACAGTAAACGCTATTTATCCGAAACCTAATACAGAACACGAACAATTTAAAACAATTACATACGTAGGAGAACCCAGTGAAAAAATTTCAAAACATTTGTCAAAATGTGGTTTAAAAATAGCTTTCACCGTAGGAAAATTTTTAAAATAGAATAAAACGAAGTGTCCAAAATCTCGAAAATCGGGTGTCTGCAGGTTGAAATGCGGATCATGTCCTAAAATTTATATTGTACAAACATATAGATCCTTCAAGAAACGCATTAACGAACAAAAAAGAGAGATTAAAAACAAGAGTCTAGATTCTAATTATGCTACACACTTAAACACAGAAAAACACATTTTTGACGACAATTTTCATATTTTACATACAGCCACAAAAGTAGAAAACTAAATTTATTGGAAGCCAACAATCAGATTTAAATACTTCTCCACTATTAAACTTAAATTCTCCCAACATTAATTATGGTTTTATTGTCATTTTTCGGTATATATACTAGCAGGTTGTTTGTAAATATTACATTTGATAAAGACACGGTGTTGCCGAAACAATTGACATGTGAATATATGTAATTTCGTGAAAATGTGAACTTTTAGCTCTTATTTATTTTGTTTACTAACGGTTAACTTAAATTTGACAAAGTTATGGCTGAATCAGTGAATATGAAACATTCAACGATTTAAAACCATTTGTTTCTGTCGAATGAATGCTTCTTTTATTCATAAAGACCAACTGACTTGCAATGCACAAATCCACCAACGCATCTATGAGCATATCTTGTTTGGGTAGAATATTCTGATACATAAAGTAGAAAATAAAGTGGTTAAAAAAGGAATATTAAATGAAAAGCGAAAAACGAAAGCACAGTTTTTAAGTAAACTAAACTCAACCATAATTCAAATATTTCAAACCCAATCTAAAATATTCTTTTATTTTTTATTTTTGAAACTTTTAGCAGTGGAGATTTAGTAGCCTAAACAAGGTGAATAAACATGATAATTCAAACAGATTGATTTATGGATAACAGAGGAACTAGGAAGGAGAATCTAGAGGGAGAAAGCAAACTTATAGAAACAGCTGATGTGCTTTAACAAGGGCTACGCAAGAATCTCTCTTAAAATACAAAGATAGAAGTTTGCTGCATGAAATCCACAACGTCCGAAAATACCGTCATTCGTTATCAAAAATTTAAAATCTGGCGCGTATTTCAAGTTCGGCATGATCATTAAAGGAGGTGACACGCTAGCACCAATACAAATATTGTACGCGAAGGCTGAATTATTTTATACGTTGCCTAAAGGGACCGAAACTCATAACGTAAGCGACAATCCAAACATTATTGCTGTTGGAAAGTTTACCTATATAATTTACCCGTCAATAATTAAATATCTGGATGACATGGCCTCCGGGCTTTTTTAACTGGGTATAAAATTATTATCGTCGTAAATCCCGTTCGTGTCTCGCCAGATTACTTTCCCTCTGTCAAATTCGATAGGCAATTTTTTCCACTTTTCTCGCGCCTTCGCAGCCGTGGGTGCCACGACTCGTTTTTTTTTTATTCTAATTAATTTAATATCGCTGGGAATACTGTGTGGGAAGAGTGGGAATCTAAACAATATTCACTGTATCTATCCAGATCCCAATTTTCAGGGTAGTTATATTTTGTATTCGTTTGACGAAGGGGAGTTTGTGTTTTCGGGACGTACTAAGTAATCTTGAATGGTTATTTCTCCAGTTGCGTGTTTACCTCCGGTGTGCCACCGGGTTCCCACTTAGGGCCATTGTTTTCCTCAATGTTCTTATGTGATAAGTAATAAAACATATTGTACGCGGATGAATTAAATTATTTTTAAGTATAAAGACTTTCACAGAGTTTGTAAAGTTACACGGTGACCTTGTCCGTTTGGAGAACTAATACAAAAATCACAGGCTCCACAAGTGTGAACTAAATTATTTTCTCAAGTGTCAACACACTGCCAAGGAAAGATCTTTTCATGGAGGGTACCAGAATATGCTTCGTTAATACCATTAAAGACTTGGTATTTTATTTAGACTCCAAATTAACGTTCAAGGGTCACATTGATAAAATAGCGATTGTTACACTCTACTAATCGCTAGTGCGACCAAGCAATTTGCAGTTTTAGAATTTGCAACTATTGTCAGAGAGACATATATAATTTGATATTTGTTTGATATATTATTTATTTATTGATTTCTTCATTTTCACGTATTGATTCACGAATGGAAAAATGTGATGACAATATACTCCGGAATATCATCCGTTCATTTGTTGGACTCCGACTGGAATCCTGCAGACGTTTCTCCAAGATCTCACTTGGCATTTTCAATGCTCGCGCTCCGAAAACACTTCGAACAATGGGAGATTATCGGCGGTGCGTGCGGTATTTATACGCTGCGCCTGAGGTGGTAACGGTGCTGCTTGTATGGAGGGGAGATGGCTCCGCCCCCCGAATAATCGTGTTGTTATTTTCGCCCGATCGTAGTTGCGATGTCCCTGTGAGCTGCTGCGTATCGCTATGCCGTTTGGTTATAGTTCTCCACGTATTGGATAAATGCGGAGCGTCGCCTCTCATATTCAGGTGTCTGGACTTTTCTATCTCGATGGCCTCTCGTATAATCCTGATCCTCAAATCAGAAATATTAGCTATTTGGTTGCAAGTACCGAATTCAATTTTATGGCCTGTCTGGTATTGGTGCTGGAACAAAGCAGATGTTATTTGTTTGTTTCTTATGGCTAAACGATGTTCCTCGAGCCTGGCTGAAATCCTTCTATTGGTCTGTCCCACGTACGTCACTGTATACTCCTTGGTTTTCCCGAGTAATTTTTTGTTTTGGGTTTCTTAATGGTATGATCAGGTTTGTATGCCGTTGATATCTCGTACTTCCGTATATTCGGC